GCTCTTAACTGCTGAGCCATTTCTCCAGCCCTGTGAGAATTTTATATTTTATAATGAAAATATTACAAAATTATGCTTAGGCTATTTTTGTTGTTTGTTTTTGTTTTTTGAGACAGGGTTTCTCTGTGTAGCCTTGGCTATCCTGAAACTTGTTCTGTAGACCAGGCTGGCCTTGAACTCACAGAGATCTGCCTGCCTTTGCCTCCCGAGTGCTGGGACTAAAGGTGTGTATATGTATATATGACATTTACCATCTAAAGTGCACACAGTTCAGGAGCATCAAATTCACGACCTGCACCATACCATATACTTCCAAAACTCCTCCCATTTCCTCCCCTGAGGCCCCACCCCCTCAAGCCCTGGAAGCTGTCCCTTTCCCCAACTCTAGGGGATCCATATAAGTGGAGTCATTGAACATTTATCCTCTCATGCCTGGCTTAAATTTGGTTCATCTACACCAGTCAGTGGTTCTCAGCCTGTGAGTCGTGACCCCCCCCCCAAAGATCATCAGAAAACAAAGATATTTACTTTATGATTCATAACAGTGGCAAAGTTACAGTTCTGATGTAGCAGCAAAAGTAATTTTATGGTTGGGGTCACCACGACATGAGGAACTGCGTTAGAGGGCGGCAGCATGAGGAAGGCTGAGAACCGCTGGTCTGTGCCGAGGCGTGCCAGGATTCCCTTCCATTACTGACTGGGACAGTGTTCAGCCCGTGTCTGTTCCACATGGGGTCTGTTCATCCACCCATCGGCAGCACCGGGGCTGCTGGCCAGCTTCAGTTCTGGTGAGCCGCGTGGCTGACATCCATTTGCACATCCATTTGAAGCCCTGCTTTCAATCTTTCTGGGTTTGTGCGTAGAAGTGGAAGTGCTGGGTCACATGGGGCTATTTTTAAGCTTTGAGGAACTCTCTGCTTCTCACAATGGCTGTGCTGCTCATACTTCCACAGGGAACGGAGCTTCCCCGCGCCCCCGGCAGTGCTGGCTCTTGTTTTCAGTTTACTAGCTTCCCCGTGTCTCTGCCAAAGCTGCGCTTGTTTTTGGTTTACTAATTACCACCCTGACCACACTTACTGCGGCTTTGATTTGCAGATTTTCATCCTGTTGTCGCCCATGTGTCTGTCACCTCTGGAGCCATTTTCACCCAATTCCTCCACCATTTGTTTGTTTGTTTGTTTGGTTTTCGAGACAGGGTTTCTCTCTATTGTTTTGGAGGCTGTCCTGGAACTCGCTCTGTAGACCAGGCTGGCTTCGAACTCACAGAGATCCCCCTGCCTCTGCCTCCCGAGTGCTGGGATAAAAGGTGTGCACCACCAACACCCGCTGTACTGATTTTTAAAATAACACTCTACATGTTAAGTCTTTATCACACGTGTGTTTGCAAACATTTCCTCCACTCTGTGAGGTGCTGTTCCCCTCTGCCAGTGCGTTCTCTGGTGAGCAGGAGTCCAGCTCATTTCCGGGACAGTTTGTGCCTCTCTGCATCTTTTCCAGGAATCACTGCCAAGTCCGACTGCACCAAGGTTTTCCCAGCTTCCCTTTTCCTCCATCTAAAAGGTTTTTGTTGTTCTAGTTTGTATAGGGGTTGGGGATGTTTTGGCTTAGTTTTTCCACCCATGCTCACATGTATCCCAGGCTGGCCCCAATTCCCCGTGTAGCCGAGGATAGCCATAAACTGATTCTCCTGCTTTTACCTCCTGAGTGTTGGCGTTCTTGTTACGTGTCACCATGCTCAACTTATGTGCTGCTGTGGTTTGAACTCAGAGCCTGTGCTTGCTAGGAAAACACCGGAGCTGTGTTCCCAGCCCTCTAAGAAGTTATACAGCTTTGGCACACAGAGGAGTTAGTGAAAGGTTCAGGCATTACGCTGGCCTGCCCTGTTACCTGGCAGGATGCACTCAGGCAGCACTCTGGCCAGCCCAGAGTTCTGCGAGAACCACGCAGGTGCAAAGACCCCTTTAAAGGACTGACCCCTGCCTGCTTACGCTCTCTTACTCGCACCATCTCATCCTCTTTCTCTCTCTCTCTCTCTCTCTCTCTCTCTCTCTCTCTCTCTCTCTCTCTCTCTCTCTCTCTCTCTCTCTCTCTCTCTTACTTTTCTCTTTCTCTCGTATCTTATCTCTCTCAGCTCTGCATGGGTTGGTTATTCCTTACCCCCCCCCGTCCTTCCCTGTCCACCAATAAAACTCCACGTGGGACCGTTAACTCACGGTTTGTCTCATTACTCGGCAAACCTAGACATTTTAACAACAGTTAGGTCCATTTGTCTTCACTTCTGTGTGTGTTGTGATGCTGGTTTTATCCCTTGTCTCTGGATACATGGTAGGACTTATCAAGCTGCAGAGTTAGCCACAGCTCCTCCCCAGCCTTCCCCAGAGACCTTGCTGTGTTTTTGTTTTGTTCTGTCCCTGTTGTATGTTTCTGGAAACTCTGGAGACAGGATCCGACGAATGTTTTGAGTCCATCTGTCTGAGCATGGCTTGGATCTGCAAGTCAACTCACTTGGAAACAGTCAGAGCACTTGATGGGTGCATGCCAGAAGCAATAAGGATCCCAGCCAGATGGTCATTATCCGGCCTACTGCTGTCTCTCCAGCTCCCATCACTCTCAATAAAGACTAGAAAAATGAGGAGACTTCAACAGTTCGGGCCTTGTGGGTTTTGTAGATTCCATCCATTCTTAGAGGTCTCCAGCCAGCTGGCTTCTTCCACATGGCCTCCAGCCTTTCGTTTCTATCCGGGCGGCCAGCAGCACTGTCTCTGTGTCCTGGTCTGTCACCATGGGGTCTCATCATGTCTATACGTGTGTCTGCATGGTTCCTGTCCAGGAGAGGAGCCAGGCATTCATGACCTCCAGACTCCCTCACATCCTTTACTATGAGTACAGACCTCGGGCACAGGGAGGGGACAGAGGTGAAAGGTGGGACCCCAGGCCTGGAAACCCACACACATGCACTGTAGGGGTAGAAAACTATGAGGATCTACAGGGTGGAGTCCAGAGTCCCAAAGACTTCCTGGAACTGACAAGGAGGGCTAGATTGGGTAGCTGAGAGACAAGCCTGTATTAGACCAAACCATTGATGGTTTCCCTGAGATGTCCTGGGCAGGTCACTGTAATGGTGGCTTGTGTCCTATGATGGTCACTGTGATGTTGGCTTGTGTCTGTGTTGGTCACTGTGATGATGGCTTGTCCTGTGTTGGTCACTGTGATGTTGGCTTGTGTCCTATGATGGTCACTGTGATGGTGGCTGTGTCCTATGATGGTCACTGTGATGGTGGCTTGTGTCCTATGTTGGTCACTGTGATGGTGGCTTGTGTCCTGTGCTGGTCACTGTGATGGTGGCTTGTGTCCTATGATGGTCACTGTGATGGTGGCTTGTGTCCTATGTTGGTCACTGTAATGGTGGCTTGTGTCCTATGTTGGTCACTGTAATGGTGGCTTGTGTCCTATGTTGGTCACTGTGATGGTGGCTTGTGTCCTGTGCTGGTCACTGTGATGGTGGCTTGTGTCCTATGATGGTCACTGTGATGGTGGCTTGTGTCCTATGTATGGTCACTGTGATGGTGGCTGTTGGTCTTGGAGGCGGGAAGAGGATGTCAGATCCCCTAGAGCCATAGTTACAGATGGTTTTGAGCCAATATGATTATAGGACCCAAGCTCCAGTCTTCTAGAAGAGCAGCAAGCTCTCGGCACGGGACTCCAGCCTCTTGCCTTGGTATTATAAATGGAAATGAGTAGAGTTTTGTAGAAGTAAAAGAACCTAACAACAGGAAATATGAAGGCCCTGAGGTCTTGGCTAGCTACAGAAGTCCTGTGAAGCTGTGCCAGGTCTTGCCCTCACAGCATCCCTGAAGCTCCTGGCTTGCGGAGGATGCTCTCCATAAATGCATACAATGGTGATGACTGGCTTTGCATCTGGGATGCCAACTGGAAGGCTCTGTTGGGCTGTCTGTCAGGAGTTCCCTGTGCAGACAGGAGGCCAGACACACCTGCTCCCAATGGAATTCCAACCTGTGATATCTGCTCAATGTTTTGTACAAGGCCATCATTTCTCTATGCACCTCAAGAATTTTATATATATTATAGACTACAGGGAGCTGCAGGGATTTTTCGTGCTAGATAAAGAGAGCTTCACTACACACACACACACACAAACACACACACAAACACACACACACACATTCAAAATAATCTTTTTTAAGTGTGTATGCACACACACACGAGTTGGAGTTCCTACAGAGTCCAGAAGAGAGATATTCCCCTGGAGCTGGAGTTACAGGCAGTTGTGAGCTGCCAGGCATGGGTTCTAGGAACCAAACTTGAGTCCTCTGCAAGAACAACTATCATTCTTAATCCCTAATCCATTCCTAGCTCCTACCTTTGTCCTGAACCAACCCTAAGTGTTTATACCTGTCGCCTTACTTCTCTCTCATACTCACTTTCAGATGTCACTAGGAAACATGGCTTCAAGTAGAGGTGGGATTTATTTGTAGCAGGTGAATCCACAGTCCATACCTTCGCCCCAGAATCTGGGATCCTGCAGAAGAAAAGGGTGCTGTAGACAGGATCCCCTGGAGATTTGGGGATGGATGCTAGCTGGGTGATCCAGGTGGGCAATGTCCTCACAGGAGGATGACAGGGAGGCTCAGTGCCAGGAAGAATATCGAAGGGGAAAAGAGCAGAGGATGCTGGGATGCTGTCCTTGGAGGAAGAGGAGGAGGAAAGGCCAGAGCCATGGGACACCAGGGATCCCCACATGCTGAGGAAGGCAGGGCAGTGACTGCCTTAAACCTCTGTAAGTGCCCTGGCGTGCCCAGAGAGTGGCTCCCTGCAAAGGTTGACTTTGGGCACCTGCCCTGGGAGCTGTTGAATGGTGACCATTCACTACAGTTGGATCTTGTTGGGGGAAGTCCTGTGCATTTGTCAATAAAGTACTGTTGAGCCTATAGGAAACCTAGATAGGAGGGACTAGGAGTCCAGGAGAACTCTGGGAAGGAGAAAGACAAGAGAGTCGACATGTGACGCCATAGGGGTAGGAAGCCGGGAACTATTCTCCGGTAAGAAACATACTTAGATTAACAATTATGGGGTAATTACTTAAGGCAGAGCTAGCCAGTAAGGGACAAGCAAGGCCAACAGCTTCATAATTAATATAGCCTCCTGTGTGTTTATTTGGGACTCAAGCGGATCTAGAACCAGGCTGGTGCGGCAGAGCCCAGGTGACTGGCGGGGGATAAACCAAAGCGGCTAGCAAAGGAAAAAGCTTCTCTTAACAGATCTAAGAAGCTGAACTGTTATCAAAATTTCCACTAAATGCTTTTGGGCAGTGTGAGGATGTTGGCTGTGGTGTAGTTAGAAACCATACATCAGGCTCTCAGCTGACAGCATTTGCTTATGAATCCTCAGCAGAGCGGTGGCCTCCAGCCCAGGCTTGCAGTCGTGTTTATCTGGCCTCTTGAAAGGCTACGAGGTTATCGCTGTTGGCTGGCTGTAGATGACCTTTGTGCATTGTGTTCCTGATGGCTACTATTGAAATGTCTCTGGGAGGGCAGGCGCTCCTTCCTTGTAGTATGTCCCCTTGGCTTGGTCACTGCTAAAGGCCCTGGGAACAGGGTCCCCACAGAGGTCCAGGCACATGTCATTCCAGGGAATTCCCCAGAGGACAGGGGAAGCACACAAGGTACCTCTGGGCCCAGCTGAGTGGGTGGGGGCTGGGTCACATCCCAGAATCCCTCTGAGATCCTGAGGGAAGAGCAAGTCTCCAGCTCACACCAGATGTGCTGGACCCACCTAGCAAACCGAAGTCCCACATTCCCCTTTTCATGCACCAGTTTCCTTGGAATGATAGCGCGGTGGATGAGATCTGGTTCATTTGTTACCATTCCTGAGGCTTTTTACCAGAAAACAAAAGCGATGCATGGTAGCTTCTAAGTCAGAGATAAAGAGTTCCCACATGCCCTTAATAAACGACTTTCCAGCCTGGACCGGGACAGTCACTACCCGTGACACCCTGCAGCGCCGATGGGTTCAGCATGTTTGTTTCCCAGGCAACACTGAGGATCAGAGGCACATACCCCCCCAAACACATTTTTCCGTATCATCCAGAGTGCTTCCAGTTTGCTGTGGTTACAGGACAAGGTCCCTGTATGTGTCCCTTCCTCTCTGAATAGGACACAGGGCCACCTCACCTCAGCCTGTACTGTCCCTACTATAGTGGACTAAGTTCACCCTCAGCACCCGCTTAGGTCCTACCCTTCAGAGCCCTCCCAGAGCCCTCGCACCCCTCTTTAGAGAAGGTGCCATCTGCTTCACCTGTCCTGCCTCCTGTAGACTTCGGGGCTCATGGCAGCTGTGGTCCCCCTCTCTGTGCTGAGGCGTGTCCTCAAGGGTCGTTCAGAAGCATGTGGGAGGAACATTTTTTTCCAGTTTTCTATTGGCTGTTATGGTCCTAAATGCGCTCACACACTGGGCAGTTGGTTTGGCTGAAAATAAACCTTTCTTGGGGAGCCCGAACTGCACCAGCAGCCCCAGTCCCGGGGAAGTCTCTCCTCTCTGCCCAACCCAAGCCTATGAGTTCTTTCTCCGAATCTTTCGGCAGCCCCTGGCTCTCCCTTGCTGCTCTGAAATGCACAGATGTGTCTGGTGACTGCCATGAGTGTTCCTCATCTTGGACGGTCTACCTGCCCCTCACCTAGAAGCCAGAGGCTCTCTGTGCTTCTAAAACCCCCCTGTACAGCTTTGCAGAGCCCCCCATGCATATACTAGGCAGGCTTCACTCTAATGAAACACTGGGTGCCTGCGGCAGGGTGGCTCGTGCAGAAGGACTTCTTGTGGCTCGTTTATCTGGTGGCTGCTTTCTTGCTGACAGAGACCCAAGGTGATGCAGAGCATTGTGTGGTGAGAGACTGTGTGTGTGTGTGTGTGTGTGTGTGTGTGTGTGTGTGTGTGTGTGTGTACAGTCATGTGTGAGTGAGACAGAGATATCTCTCCTCTGTCTATCTCTCTCTGAGTCTCTGTCTCTGTCTGTCTACCTACCTACCTACCTACCTACCTACCTACCTATCTACCCACCCACCCACCCACCCACTCCATCCATCCATCCATCCATCCATCCATCCATCCATCCATCCATCCATCTACCTATCTATCTCGTGCCCCAGTCTGACCTCCAGCTTGCTGTGTGACTGAGGAGGACCTGGGCCCTTGATCCTCTTGAGTGCTGGAATTGCAGGCATATGCCACTGCACCCAGATCATGCAGGGATGAGGATCCAATCAGGGGCTTCGTGCCAGCTGAGCAAACACCAGGCCAACAGAGCTACACCCCAGTCCTCTCCCTCCTCTTACGAAACCACTGGGATCTGATCCTGATGGTGCCTCCCCAGGCCCTGCCTTCCAATTAAGATAAAATTTCAACACACAAAGCTTTGGGAACACTCGCACCATGTCACACAGCTCCGCGCCAGATCCCCTGCTTCTCTGGCTGGGATGTTTGCGTGGGAAACATCAGCCTCCCAGATGTGTCTTCTGTCTTCCTTCTCCACGGCCAGAGGGGCTTGCTTGCTTTCATTGTCTGTCCAATGGGCTTGCATGACAATTGTCTTCTAATCTCCTGAGGTTCTCACCCAGGCTTCTTCTTGCCTGTCCAGTGGCAGCCTTCCCTCTTTACCCTGGCCCCTGACCCTTGATGATCCTGTGGTAAGAAGTATTGGGCCGGGCGGTGGTGGCGCACGCCTTTAATCCCAGCATTCGGGAGGCAGAGGCAGGCAGATCTCTGTGAGTTCGAGGCCAGGCTGGACCGTCAGCCTCCAAAACAATACAGAGAAACCCTGTCTCATAAAACCAAAAAAAAAAAAAAAAAAAGAAGAAGTATTGGGTTCTGGAACTTTCTGATGGGGCTGGAAGGAGGGGCTGTCTATGTCCCTGAACAATGAGCTATACTCATCCTGCTGTTACAGCCCAAATGTCTGTGTCTCCAAAATTCATATGTTGAAATTCTTACCCCTAATGGGGTAGTATTAGGAGGTAGGGACCTCATGAGTGATGAGGTCAGAAGGGAGAAGCCCGCTGGATGGAGAGTTAGTGACCTGATCCAAGACCTAGGACACTCGTCTCTCCCTCATCTTTGCCATGAAAGGACACAATGACAAAATGGGCAACCCTTGGCAGACACTTGATCTTGGCCTTCCAGTTTCCAGAGGTGCAAGATGTTTGCATTCCAGATGTTTGCACCCCAGTCTGTGTGGGCTGAGACCCCTGTCCCTAGGCTAGGACTGTCACCCCTTCAGCAGCCTTTGGAGAATAGCAGAGCAAGGATCTAGGAATGGAGACCCTGATGAACATGGAGGGAACCAGTCTTGGTCCAGTGCCGGATGCTGGGGCTTCAAACACATCAGGTCCAACTACCTCCCCCAAAGGAAGCAAAGGCAGGAAAGGATTCTAACCATTATGACGGTGTCAGAAGTGGAGACCCCACTCAGCGTGAGTTTTTTTTTTTTTTTTTTTTTTTTTTGGTTTTTACGAGACAGGGTTTCTCTGTATTGTTTTGGAGGCTGTCGGTCCAGCCTGGCCTCGAACTCACAGAGATCTGCCTGCCTCTGCCTCCCAAGTGCTGGGATTAAAGGCGTGTGCCACCACCACCCGGCTTTTGTTTTATTTTTTACCTTCAGGCACCACATAGGCTGCATGTTAACAGAGGAACGGTTGGGGGAGGAGCCAGAGGTGCCTTGGTCCTGTGTGGTTGGCTTGATGACCATCTCAGCCCTGTCTCTACAGGGAGATTCTGAGAGTCCCTGGGAGGTATCTACTTAGCTAGAGACAATGCCTGGAGACTCTCAGGTGCCTTTGGGGGATCTGGAAAGGGACACTGACCATGACTGTCAGGGGCTCAGACCCTTGAGTGGGATGACACGGTGTCAGGGGTGTTCAGGCAGCCCCTCCCTGTGCAGTGAGCAGGCCTGCCATTGCTTCACAGCTCCTGTCACAGAGGCTGTCTCAAGATCCACCCAGAGTTCTGGTCCCCTTGGCCCCTGGTCATCACTAAAGGCCAGAACACAGCTGGAGCCTTTGGACCTCTAGGACGCTCAGGGAGAGGAAGCAGACGCATGAAGGCTGCGCACACAGGTGCTTCCCCTGCACAAGGACAACTGCACAGGGACACTGTTGTTATTAGGAGGGCAGAGAAGCCCCCTCTCCTCTCCTGGAGCTGGCTTCTTACCTCCGTCCCAGAAATGCTCCCGCCTCACCCACCTCCCACTGTCCTCACTGTGCCCTAGCCTGATCGCTCCTGCTCCAGTCTGGGCCACCGCCTCCTACCGTTTTCCACTAGCAGGCTTGTTAGTCTCCTCCAGGGCGTAGAGACAGGGAGCCCTGTTCCCAGGCCCTCTGGCCATTGCATAACAGCACATGCAAATGAGTCCTCGATGATGCAAGCTGTCCCTCCGGGTAGCTGGACTGCTGTGGTGCAGTGTGAGGCTGGGGCTCTTCCTGCGTCTGCTGGCACTGGACTTCCTTTCAGGACTTTGGGCTCTTCATGACCTCCCTGAGCCAGAGATTAGAAATACCTGCCTCTTGGTCTTCCTGCCTAGCATGCGGTAGATGCTCAACAGACGCTTGCCGATGGACGGCCAAAACAGTTAGATCTTTGCCAGGAGAGTTTTGGTCTTGGTGGAGGCCAAGCTGGGTGGGGTGGGGGGAAGGGTTTTCTGTTTTCTTTATTGGGAGCCATGGTCACAAGGCTTTAATGGGCAGAAAACTCAAGAGTGTAAACTTGGAATGTCTTTCTCTGGGGAACAAATCCTTGGCCCCAGGACAAGGGCATCTGGGTTTAGGGAAGGTCAGTTCGTTGCTTTCACAACCCTTACAGTCTTAGGATGTCCTCTGAGCTAGGGGCCCACTTCAGCCTGCAGTCCCTAATGACTGAGCAAAGCCACGAAGTTCCTTGAGTCACAGCCATGCTGAGCCCTTGACTGAGACAAAGGAGTGGGGACTTAAGGTCGGAGCCTTAGAAAAGGGCACCAGACACTATCCCTGTCCACTGAGCCCAGGAGAGGTTGATTGAAGGTGACACTTGCTTCCTGACATAGGCCAGCTACAGTCAGGAGTCCCAGCCCCCAGGGACTGTCACCTGCATTGCCTGCAAGTGGCCATGGAGAGTAGGCTCTGGTTTCCCACCCTACAGGACAGAGGGTGCATATATTAGTTGCTTTGCTCATTGCTATGGCAACGTACCTGCCAAGATGGGGATTTAAAACAGCGAGAGTTAGCTCTGGCTCACGGTTTGAGGGGATACAGTCCATCGAGGAAGGAAGGGCACAGTGGCAGGGGCTAAACGCCACTGGTCACATTGCAGCTGCAGTCAGGAAGCAGAAGGAGGTGAATGCTGGCTCTTGGCTTGCTTTCTCCTTCTTGTGCATTTCAGGACTCCCAACACACACACACACAGATACACACACACACACACACAGATACACACACACACCTATAGAATGGCGCTGCGGGTCTTCCTACCTCTGTTAACCTAATCCAGAAAACCCCTCCCAGAGACTCTCCTCATCTGTCAAGTGACAATCAGCATGATTGTCACACAGTCCCAGGGCCAATGGACCAGCCCAGCCCCGCTGCCCACATCTGCCGGTAGCTGCTGCAGCACCGCCCACCCTACCGCATCCACGCATACACATGCTGCCTCTTCTTCCAGTCCTCCCTCTCAACCACGCAGTGCTTCCTGTCCCGCCTCTTCCACTTTGAGCCATTCAAGTTTGGGGCTACCCCATTCCCTCCTCTTCATTCGTAGCCTTCCGTCAGATCAGCCGTGGGAAGGAGGCTGGCTCAGGCTCTGGACACCTTCACTGAGAGGTCCATAAAATTGGGTTAGCCTAGCAGGGGTGAGATTAGTAGGTCTGCCTTCAGGGACACAGTGGCCTTGGGGGAGAGTGGCCCATCCACCAAAGCACTGTGGACGGCAGTGGCTTGCAGGAGGGTACAGAGTGAATGGGATACAGTCCCAGCAAGCACAGGACATGGTGGTTGGGAATGTCCTCAGAGAATTGGAAGCCTTCCCAGCGGAGGCAGATGTCCAGCAATGGAAGAGCACCTCTACCTCGCTCTAAGCCAGTGGCTCTCCTGACGCTGTGACCCTTTAATCCAGTTCCTCATGCTGTGGTGACCCACAACCATAAAATTATTTCATTGCTACTTCATAACTGTAATTTGGATACTGTTAGGAATCTTAGTGTAACTATCTGATTTGCGGGATATAGGAATCTTAATGTAAATATCTGATACGTGACCCTGTGGGGTTCTAACTCATGGGTGAGAACCATTGTTCTAAACAATGCCAAATACTCTAAGCAATTCCTCTATTTCCTTGTGAACTGTTTTTTCCACATCTCTGACCAGCTTCCTCCCTAAAAATGAGCTGAGTGAAGTCTTTACCACAGAAGCAACCCTTGTCTGTCTATGTGACAGTCATGATCCACTCTCTTTAAAGGTAACCGTTTCGTGTGAATAACTCAGGGGTGGTTAAGCGGGAACTCCTGGGTTCCCATGTCATGGTGACTATTGATTATCGTCTTGGCAGGACCTAGATGCGCCTGGGCTTGTCTGTTGGGAACTTTCTAGGCTGGGTTACTTGAGATGGGAAGATAGACTCTAAATGTTGGGGGACACCGTTCCAAGGGCTGGGGTCCTGGACTTCACAAAAAGGAGAAAGAGAGCCGAGCACCAGCACCCATCTCTCTCTGCTTCCAACTGTGCATGGAACTGACCAGTTGGCTCACCTTCCCGCTGCCATCCCTTCCCTGCCGTGAGCTTGAGCTATAAACCAAAAAAAGTCCCTTTCTAAAAAAGAAACAAGACAAGATGACAAAACAAAAACAAAAAAAACACCTTCTGTTCTTAAGTTGCTTTTGTCAGTTATTTTTTCACATCCATCAAAAAGTAACTAACCATCACCCTGACCTACCCACCGGTGATGTAAGAGGGTGAAACCGGGGAGCACACGGGCGGTGTGGCTCCTCGAGGGAGGTGTGGCTCCTGTGAGACACATCAGTATTCAAACCGAAAGGGACACGGTCCTGTGAGCAAGTTGGTTCAGGTCTGGGGAAGCCCCCGGATGTGCGGCCTCTGAGGAGACATGCACGAGTAACCCAGGAAACAGCGGTGACAGGCATGACCGGGTGTCAGCTTGGACAGACAGGGTCACTCTTAATGTGGGTGGGTCTGTGTCCCTACAGGTAACCCGTCAGGTTTACCACACCCTGCCAGGACCACCCAGTTGACTATTGACCCTGCTCAGTGACCAGCAGAGGCTCTGACCGTTGTGGCCCTCACAATAGACCTGTGCCAACAGGCAGTGGTGGCACATGCCTTTTATCCCAGGACGCAGAGGCAGAGGCAGGTAGATCTCTGTGAGTTTGAGGTCAGCTTGGTCTACAGAGTGAGTTCCAGGACAGCCTCCAAAGCCACAGAGAAACCATGTTTAGAAAAAACAAAGGCAAAACAATAGGCCTTTGCCATATTATGTTCATAGCTGACTGCCAGCCCTGTCCTTAGATGCTCAGAACCTGGCCCTGTCTCTTGGGAGGCTCACTTTGTTCCAGGTCTTTCGACTTGCTGTACCGTCTCACCTTCACAGATGTTCTCTGGGCAGGTCATCCCCTTTCACCACGTCTCCTAGTGCCACAGTCAGAAATGGACTGACCACCCAGCTACGCTGCTGTTTGAGCTATGAGCCAGCATCCCTTGGGAGGCTACCCCCATGTCTTCCTGGCCACCCACGCACAGATACGCCACAGCTGTTTTCTCTTTTCCTCTTGAGTGCTTGGTGGCATCTGGGCCATATGGACTCCTTTGCCTGTGGGGTGAAGTGTCCAAGGCAGATTGAGCCCTTGTCCTTAAGGAACCTGCCATCTGGGGACACCTGTCACTCATGTGCTTTTTCATTCAGGTGCTCATCCCAACACCATCCGGACTTCAGGACAGACAGAGCAGCTGGCCCACACACGGAAGAGCCGCCACCCGTGAGACTGGGTGACTGAGACGGTGGTGAAGGCTCTCCCTGCCCCCTGGGGCAGCGTTTCTTGTCGCCTGCTCCACCCCCATCTTCCTGCCCTTCTCCTGAAACTCAGGTCTGCTCCAGGAGCAGAAGGCCAAACTTTAAATCACAAAATACCATGTCCACAGGGCCAATGGCCCAGCTCCACGTTGACTAGGGTCTTGTCCCTAAAGCTGGGCCTGAGCCTCCAGCAAGTGGGATTTGTCACCTCCCTCTCTGTGTAGTAAAGCTGGAGCCACAGCCAAGGTGTCCCAGGAGCTGATCACCTGTACTGCCCTGACAGGCTGCCCTTGCCCCGCGGGGGACTGGCTGCTGTGACTGTCGGATGGAAGCTTGAGGAAGGCAGGGTGTGAGAGCGTGAGGTGGTGGTGGCCGAGGGAAAAGCAGATGTGTAGTACAAGGGTGGTCCTCTGAGGAACGCCCACTTGTAGCCATGTCCTCCTGCACAACACCGACTTCCTTTCCTTGACAGATGCCCACCTGCATGGATGCTGGCCTCACAGGTGCCCACCTGAAAGGTGACCACTTATATAGTGGCCCACCTGCATGGTGCCCATTTACACAGTTGCTCCTCTACAGGATGCCCACTTATGCAGACACCCACCTGCACAGATGCCCACCTACAGGATGCCCACCTGCCCAGACACATAGTCTCATACCTGAGGCACTAGCAGGTAGTTTCCCAAGCCTTGTCACATCATCAAAAGCCAGCAGGTTTGGGGAAATTCCTGGGCCCCTGCTGAGCTGGAAGCTCTGGCTGCCCCCTGTTCTCCAGAGGAAACCTGGTTGGTTTTACCACCACCCACCACGGTGTGGTTCAGTCCAGCCCTCGGGTGGGTAGACCTTAGGCTACCAGTAATCTGAGACTTTGTAATCTGACCCTTTCCATTAGCTGGGTGTGGTGATTTAAGAAAGGAACCCAGGTCCTACCATCCCCAACACTTCCAGTACCTGGCCGGTGCCCTTCCAGAACACAGAATGCTTAGGAAGCTGGAGCCTGGGTTGGTGGCAAAGCCACAGAGAACCACCAGACCATAAAGGAACGAGGTGGGTTCAGCATAAGCACAGTCAAGAAGCTCACACCACTGTGGCTAAGGACCCTCATCCGGGGACATGGAGAGGAAAAGATTGAGGGGTCCTTGGTGAGCGGACATCCTCATCAAGTTAGGGGTGGTAGACATTCTTACAGTACCCCCTCAGAGGGAGAGCCCCATGCCAAGCCTGGGGTGTGGTTGATGGAGCAGATCCATCTGCATGGCTGAGACTTCAGCACAGGTAGTCCTGCCCTAACTCAGCACGTCTCCACAACTCTCTGCATAAACCCTTGTTGCAGCCTCTCCTGGTCAGCCCTCTGGGAGTCTGTTTGTGAATCTCTGGCCAGATCTCTAGCCAAGCATCGCTCCAAAGCAGAGGGTATGAGTTTCAGACTCCTGGCAGTTCTCATCCCCAGGAGCTGATGAGTGAAGCTTTGACCAACATCAGGAACCCCTGCAGAAACAGTGATGCCCCAGCTCGGCCTGTCACCTTTTCTGTTCTCCAGAGCTGGTGTTGCCCTGATGTCCCCCGGTCACCTGATAGTTTCTGACTGGTCTGACATTTGCATTTTTCCTACATCTCCAATATCTAGAACTACACTGAGTGAATGAATGAATGGTTCAACATGGAAAAATGCTGAATGAAGCCAGGCTGGGGTGGTGCATGCCTTTAATCCCAGCACTGGAGAGGCAGAGGCAGGTGAATCTCTGTGAGTTCGAGGCCAGTCTGGTCTACAAAGCTACACAGAGAAACCCTGTCTCAAAAAAAAAAAAAAAAAAGAATGCTGAATGAATGATGTACATGGAAGAGTGCTGAACGAGCTAATGAATTGGCGTGATGAGTGATGAATGAATAGGATGTGACTGAATATTACATGAATGAATGGCTGCTGGATGAACTAACAGCTCATTAATTAATGAGTGTGGTATGAATGCGTGCTGGAGGGATGAGTGAATGGATGGAAGAGAATATCCTGGATCTTGGGCTCACGAGAGCAAACTTGGGGCCCTCTGTAGAACGGCAATAGTAGAAACTGTCAAAACCAAAAAGATCTGGGCTTTTTTGTTTGGTGGGTTTTCTTTAAATTAGTTTTTGTGCATGGGTACATTTCTGCATGTACGTGTGTCTGTGCAGAAACTGGAGTTCCAGACAGCTGTGAGCTGCTAGGAGGCTGCTGGGAATCAAACCCAGATCCCCTGGAAGAGCAGCCAGTGCTCTTAACTGCCGAACCATCTCCAACCCTATAGAAAATGTGTTTGAGTTTTTGTTTTTTTAACCAAACTGATGACAATTCTCTTTATCAAGTGAGGTGCTGTCATCCAAGCCGCAGAGTTTACATTTCCAGAGCCTAAGGCTGTTTCCTGAGAAAACAATAGGGTTTGGAGCTTCCTTCAAGCAAGTGGCCACTTGGAAAAGAATGAAGGCATGATGTTCTGGGTGGCTGGGACTTTTGGACGAAACCAGTTTTAAAAATTCACTCGTGAGGGGCGGGGCCAGAGGGGAGGGAGAGGGAGCTGGGATTGACATGTGAAGCAAGCTTGTTTCTAATTTAAATTTTAAAAAAGATAAAAAATTATTCATGAATGTAGCCTACAGTCCTAAGTAGAGGGTTGTGGCTTAGGAAGACGCCTGGCCAACTATATCGGGGACCTGGCGGATGAATCGTCACAGATAAGTGAACGCCAAGACCTAGATGGGAGGGTCCTGGGCCCTGATGGACCTCAGAGACCAGGGAGCGGGGTGAGCTGGGAAATCTGCTCTCCAAAGAGGACACAGCCTGCTTTGTTGTGTCTGCCAACCATTGCGGTAGAACTTGCACACTCTTGGAGGGCACCTGAGGTCTGCCAGCCAGGCCCTAAGTCCTGTAATCACTGTTGCCGTGAGGTGCTGGGCAGGGGCAGGCTGATGTAGGCAGATGCTGGGCCATCCTGAGCATCCCTGCGCTGTGCCCTGGATGACTCCAGCCTCGCCTCTCCTCAGCCCTACTTAATAAGGACTACTGTGCCGGGGAGCAATCCACTGTGACTAGGTTCTGGGCAGTGGCTGTCATTGCACCCCAGGTTAGAACAGGTGCGTCTGCACTGGGGTCAAGCGCTAAGGTCAAGGTTCCCCCAAATCCAGTTCTGCAGACTTCTGCCTGGGCAGTCGTTTGTCATTATAAATTTGGTCAGAACCACCCACTCCCTTCTCTGTATCATCAAGGTGGGACCACTCATGAAAAGCCAGTCTGTGCTGTCACTGTCCTTGGGATCCTGCAGGGTCCAGCATGGTGTGGGAGCCTAGGATTTAGGTTTCTGGGAGGGTACCTGGCCCGTACTCAAGAGGAGCTTCATTCTAATGCCTCGACCCTCCCAAGACCTCCTATAGCTGCCAGGGAGTGGAGTGACTGTAGCTCTTCCAATGCTATGCCACTGGAGAAACCCATTCATGCCGGCACACCTAAGGCGTGGCATGTTACCCTATTCCAGAGCACCACTGGATGCGCTGGATGGTGGCTTTTGGCTCTGTGCTCTGCAGGGCTCTTCAGGGCCTGGAAGAGCCTGGGTACTTTCCTGATTTATGCCTCTCGCTTTCAAGTTGGACCTTTTGTCACTTTTTTTTTTGTCACTTGAGGGGCTCAGTTCAGTGGCTGCAGAAATGGCTTGTGACAAGAACCAATGTTCACCCATCTCCACATGCCAAATACTTTCAGAACCTCTCCAAGACTCAGCTTGAGCCCTGTGGAATGGGGTTGGTCCCAGCAGACAACAGGTGCCATTGTTCCCAGGACCCTGAAGGGATTTCTGTTCTGTAGGCCTTCCTCAGGGTCCTAGGACCCAAGGTGGGGGCTGTCCTGTCTCAGGCCAGGTCACAGAGGAAGATCACTTGCAGCTCTCATCCTAGAGTGGTCCTATGTCTGTAGGCTTTTCCTCATGGCTTCCCACAGAGAACGAACTTTCTGGCCCAGCCTGGTCCAGTGTTCTGACAAAAACTGGGAGCATTTGATCACTTCCCAAACACCCCCTTGCAGGGATCCCACAGATAAGCACACCGTGCCTGCTTGCCGAGGGCCTGTCTTCTGGGATACCTAGCCCCTCGCTGTGTTCAGAGCCTCCAGACTTTTGCAGGAAATGGAACTCGGGAAATTGCCCCTGCTCCGGCAACACAAGCGGGCTTAGAGACCTCAGTAGAAAGATCCTGCCCTGCTTGAATCCTGGGCTGGTGAAAGTGCCACTTCCTCTTTCAGACCTCAGATGCAGACAGGAACTCAACATCTCCCCAGCTCACTTCTGAGACAGGCCTAGCTCTCCCCTCCCAGTCAAGTCCCTTGTGAGGTTCCTTGTAAATCCCAAGCTTGCTGGTTCTGATCTCTTGTCCTGACTTTTCAAAGAACAAGACAATTCCAGCCATCTCTGACCTGTAGCTGGAGGCTGCCCGACAGTGTTCTGTACACAACAGTTCCTCAGTGTGCCCTTACTGCCTCACACACCCCCTGTCTTTACTGAAGACCTCAATGTGTACCAGGTGCTTGGAGACATCTGGCTTGTCCTGTCCCAAGAGGACCATCCCAGCCTGCGGGAGCTGAGACTGTTTTCTCCTGGTCTCTGCAGAGCAGACTGAATGCTCTAAAACTGAAGATGGTGACACAAACCCTTCCTGAGCAGGCCACACTGACTCATAGGTAGCTCCCCCCGCCTTTCAAATCAGTCTATGAATGGAGAAGCCAGTCAGTCATTGAAACAGAGCAGAGCATCCTGGTCAGGAGGGGCACCCAGGCTGAAAGTGAACCCTCTCAGAAAGAGTGAGATGCACAGTTCCTCCGGCCACACAGTGCCTCTGCCATTCGACGGCTTGGAAGGTCCCTCCCTCCAGTGCTGGTTTTCAGGCAGCTAGGCTGTGACAAGAGAGCAGCAGTAGTCAGCCAAGCCCAGAGTCCTCTGGGGTCCAGCCTCGTGGTGGTGGACTGGGGAGGTGGATCACAGTTACCCGGTGCCAGTTTGGCCCTGGAAGTTCATGTCAGGGGTGCTATCAGATCTGGGGTCCTGTGAGACTGTCACAGAAGCCTCCCTCAACCCAGTTCCTCATAACATGACAAATGTCTCAAAACCCTGGGGTGGGGGCTACTCTCATCTCTGGCTGCACTGCCTTAAACCTCAGTAGTGGTACACACTTTTAATCCCAACACTTGGAAGGCAGAGGCAAGCAGATCTCTGTGAGTTCAAAGCCAGCC